ATATTATATTATTTTCATCACTTGATGTAATTTTATTAATTGTCAAAATTTTTAACTCATTATAAATTATATTAATACTGTTTCAAAAATCGGATACAAACTTACTTTAAGTTTTTGAACTATGGTTAAAACGGTCTTATATGAAATAAAAGAAATTCATGACAAATTTAAAATGGTATTCGAGGAATCTAAACAAATAACAATTTCGTGGTATACAAATAGTTTACTATTGAATTCATGATTCTGTCATACTTCATGTAAATTATAGTGACATTCTTAATGATAAGATACTCTCATAACGTATCTAATTATCAGTTTTGTTGATTTATCGTTCCGTGCTATCAATCAAAAAGAATAGCTCTAATTATTTGTGGTAATATACTTGTAAAAATAACTGGTTGATCTCAGTTTATTACAAATAAATCCATTATTTAAAACTTGAATCTTTAAGTTCAATCAATACCAATAAATTGTATAATCTAACTTCAATTAACTATTTTGAAATCATGATAATTCAGAATATTCTCAAATAATTGTTTATTTTTTATTAATATATTAACAGTTATAATATTTTTTATTATTTTTTTAATTTTTTTGTAGAAGATATAAGTACGTAATTATTATAGTTTTAAATTTATATTAAATTAGTTTACCAACTTATATTTAACGAATAATTAATACAGTCATTATATTTATTATATTTGTGCAGTTAAGACCCATAAATTTTATTTACATGATTAAATAAATCAATGATAGTCAAAATTTAATATCTTATTTTTACTGTGGAAATAACTTAATACTAATTTCTTGTTTATAATACAATCTAATTAATAGTTGTAACACCAAATTTTGTTACCTTGGAAATATGCATCTAATGCAGATCAGACAAGTCCTAACTATACAAAAAATATGTCAGCAACCAAATGGTTCTACTTTAAAACTTTTTGATTCCTAACTGATATTTTTTATTTTATTTAAATAATATATTACAGTTTGGCGTTAAGATATCTCTACTATTTAATTATTGAATATTTTTAAATTTTGATAATTTTTATTCTAGCGACGATCGGTAAGTAAATATAATTAGTTATTTTTTTATTTTTTTCAAATTTCAAATTTATTTTCACAAAATATATATATATCTCCAATAACAAAAAACTCTTGGTTATAGTCTCATCGTACGCGCAGACTTTAATGTTTAAAAAATTATAAGGGGATGACATTTGAATAACTAACGAGATAATTCTGCTTCAATTTGTGAAAATAATTACTAACTGCGTACCCTACCATTGATGCCAACCTATTATCTTCCAGAAAAAATAACTTCATGATGAAACTGAAATGTTTCTTTCAAAATCCTCTAACTATATCATAAACCAATTGAAAATCTACTAGACCTATGCTCGGATCACTCCATAGTGCTACCAAAAATTAGATCCTCTAGTGTCTTATTGTGTAAATAACCTTTCCCTTACAAAAAGTAAAATGAATAGACTAGAGTAACTGACCCATAAGTTAGGTTAGTTAACTCCACACATGTTATCTTCCGCAAATTCCATGTTGCCTATGTGTTATCATTTATCATACATGTTTGTCGTACAAATATTAGATGTACACTGTACAGATTGTATAAAGTACTTATATAAATTAACTATCTACTACTTTATTCTAGATGCTGAGGAATGTAAGTTATTTTTATTTATAATTTTTGATAACGATATTTAGAACTTTATTTATTTTATAATAATTATTAATTACTTTTTTATATGATTATAATCAGTTACAATTGGTACGTAATAAGTTTTATTTTTTAAGAATCAATGGTATCAGATCTTATAGTCTTTATCTTATGCGTCATTAATATATTGTGTGAAGTTGATGTAAAAAATGTATAGATTTTTCAATCATACTATTTTTAATTATTGACTATAATCTAGTAAGTTATACATTATACATCTATCACACTCATAACAATATTTAATATCGTTAAATAAATTACCAAATTTAAAATACCTGCTAAATTGATCGATTTTCCACGCATAATAATTAATTATTTAAATAATATATTAAACTTATGGTTGGGGCATTATTTAAAACTCTATTACCTAACATACATCATTAGAATAAAAAATCTTGTTAAATGTTAATCATTTTATTGCTCAAATACTTCCGTTAGAGTGAGAACCATAACTTCTTTTTCTTTCATATTTGTCAAAATACTTAGTGATGAGAGTAATGTCGTTTCTATTTGTTTAATATAAATGGTTTGAAGTTATAAGTTATAGTTTTTAATATATTAGTTGAGGAGTTCATCGAGTGCACATTGTTTAAGAAACTCAACATTTTACATATTGGCGGTTATTTTATATTTGTAAATATTTAGTTAGAGTTAGCTATAGTACAAAAACAACGTTCAAATCAATATTTTGCTAAACAAAACTTGGCATTCTTCAAGTTCTGCAATGTTTTTATCTTACAAGTTATATAATTATGATAGTTATATTTTATGGCTTGTTTATGCGTAAGAGTAAAAAAAATGATTTTAGTTATGTGTTTTATTTTATTTTTTTTTTTTTTTTTGTAATAACTATTTTTACGTTTTTTATATGAAAAAAAAAAATATGGCCAATATAAATGAGTAATAAATTAAAGTCTGTATGAAAAAATTGAAGACTTAGGTATTATTTTTGTAACAAAATTGATATTTTGTCCTTTTATACTTAGTAATTATATATCATGAACTGTCTTTAATATTTCAAAACTGTATACATGTAAATGTTTTATAGTTATTTAAATGTATTGGAGTATTTGCTCATAGGTACTATTAAAAATAAACTATCACTTTCGTCGCTTCACTCAGAATCTACGATGTAATTAACAATAGCGTCTCGCAAAGACTCCTATAGGTCATTGATATTCTCTTTATAATATAAAAAGATAGTTTTATTAAGTATAACTAGCACCGGTGAAACTCGCTGTATGTGAATACCCTAGGGCGGTACAACTCGCTGTATGTGAATACCCTAGGCCGGTAAAACTCACTGTATGTGAGTACCCTAGGTAGCTGAATATCGTTTGAAGTGAATTTCCTTGGTAGGAGACAGGACTTAAGAATAAAGCAGTTAGAAAAGTCTAGTAGGCAAAACCAGTGATAACGACGTTTGAGACGTTGGTACCTCTGATTTGGAATCTAGCGCTCGATTTCTCAAGTGATCACCAATGAAAATCCAGTTAAACGCGTTTAAACCTCCCAGGTAGGCAATCCGACTACGTCGGATCGCGGACGATGTGGGCGTAAAGGAGAGATGTTAAACGTATTATGGAAAACGCATGTCAAACGTTAGCGAGTTGAAGATCAAAAACCTATACATAAATAATATTTTTTTTTTTGATATTTTATAGATGGCTAGAATTTGAAAAGAAATAATATGCACTTTCTGTGATGACAAAATATTTAAAAAAAAAAAAAAAAAAAAAAAATATGCTACTGTTTTTCCCTTATATCTTTCAAATGTAAACAACTGAAAGGCTAAACATATAAAATAGTGAATTCACGGTCAAAACTGAGTGAAACAACTGTATTGTCATCAATAGAACGTTCTCGGGCTATAATATAAATTGCATATCACATATGTACATTTGAATCGTGCAGACTGTTATATAGCAATAACTATAATTGGTTTATTTGAATACTATTGTGTGATTTAATGTCCGTGTAAAATATATTGTAATATAATATATTTTGACATCATCAATCGAGCAATATAAAATTAAACGTGTGAGATCAAAAATCATTTTTAAAATTTGAAAAATATTTTATGAGTAGTAGTGTGAGATTGGATATCAAAACGAAAACGGCAATTAATAACAATCGAATTAAATGAAAATAAATGCAAATAATCCGTTATACACAGTAGAGCTCTGCATGGTCCATATTTTTTTGGACCAGACCGGACTAGTTATTTTAATTAAGACCAAGACTGGACTGGACTATCATTAAAATAATTTAACTGGACCGAGACTAGACTGATTTATTTTAGGCTGTTGAAAAAGACTGGGACCGGACCGTTTTATTTTTAAATTTTTAAAAAAGACTGAGACTGGACTGTTAAAAAAAAAATATTTTTATCAGGACCAAAATTACATTAATTTAATTTTAAAAAAATTTCACCGTAGAATCAAGATCGATTGGGGCGGACCGATTTTACTTTTATTTCATAGAACAATAGCGAGACTGGTTTAGATTGAAACATTTGATAAAGACTAATGCCGGGTTGCACGAAAAATGTAGTAATTTAATGGTTTAATAAAATGTCATGTTAAAGGGATCAGCTCACTATTGATTCCTAAAATGTTTAGTGACTGTTCATGAAGCTCAATATGAGAATATTAACATTAATAAAGACATTATAATTCAAATAAAAACTATGTTTAGTTTTAACAAAATATGAATTGAGGAAATTATCGGGTTACCTCGTTTCTAAAAAGAATATATTAATATAGTTGAAATTTGTTTTTAAGAATATTTACTTTAATTAATTAATTTAGTAGTATTTCATATAATTTTGTAGGTGTATCTTCGATCTACCTACAATTTATAATACACCTATATTTATAAAATACTGAATAACTGTACCTATACTAATACAGTGGGTAAGTACATATTATAATGTATTGTTATATGTACCTATAATATCGGAAAATAAGTACAACTTAATTTCTTTTAACCGTTTATTATAATAATCACAAAAAAAAATGTTTCATATTTCAAATTAAAATATATAACATTTATAATATGCTAGAAAAATAATTTTCCATAATTATTATGGATTTTACTGTGCCGCACCTAGTTACTATAAGATACGTTTTTTAGTTAAATTCTTTATATTTAAAATAAAATAAATGTGAAAATAATTAATATTAAAATAATTATTAGTTGATACTTGATAGTTCAATTAAAAATAATAGTAAAATAACATTTAAATAATAGTAAAATAAATTCATTTTTTATTTTTAAAATGGTTATTTAAGAACAAAATCGAATCTACACTTGTACCACTCAGACAACTTCTACGCTCTTCGATTAGTCTTCCAGCAACGCTAAAAGAGCGTTCACTGCTAGCACTACTAGCTGGAATAGCCAAAATTTGTCGTGCTAATACACTTAAATATGGAAAAATGTGATTTTGACGCTTCCAAAAATCTAACAAATTGTCGTCAATAACATCAAACTTTTCTTTTTTGTAAGCTTCCAATTCTTTTTCATATTTACGCCTATTGTCTAAATCTTCATTATTTTCACCATCTTCCCATTCTGAAAATAGTGAGCTATTCGAAGTGTTTTTTTGTATGGTAACATTATATTCCTGGTGTAGGTTTTCTGGAGTTATATTTTCTTTTAATTCAATTTCTAACAACTTTAATCCTATATTTTGAAATATACGTGATTTATCTGGTTCTGAAAACATTTTTAGACATTTAAATTTTGGCGATAAAAAAATGGCAATCTCGTGTTCTTCGGCCAACTTAAATTTAGATTTCATGAACTCTAAACCTCGTTTTCCTAATTTTTGCATTATTGAGTTGGGTGTAAGTTCTTCATTTGCATCAAATATGTCCTCTTGAAGTTCAGCATATGTTTTTAAATGTTTTTTCAATAACAGTTGGTATAAAACAACCTTTTGAATAGTCGGATACTTATCACCCTCTAGTTCATCAGATGCTTTTTTAAATGGTTCCAAAAAAATTGTAATTTTTTCCAGTAATTCTGTATTAATATTTTGTATACGATTGAAATGTTCTCCATATAATTGAATTATTTCTGGAAGTGCTCTTTTCACTGATTGAAACATTAAAAGCCTTGTATTCCACCTCGTTTCAACTTCTTGTACAAGTCCTTGACTAAGTTCACTATTTTTACCCGAGCTTTTCATAAATTTTACCAAATGTTTACATTCGTTTAGTAATATCACTACTGGATTCAAAAGTTTATTACCGTCTTCTTCATGATTCAAAAATTTTGAATCAAACAGATTTCTTAATACAGTATTAATTACATGAGCACAGCAGTTAAGTCTATTGTTATTTCTGAGAGCTGTTAACATATTGGAACCTTGGTCGGTAACAAAAGTTATATTTGACATTAAATCAAATGTTGGCTCATCTGCTGCATCAGATATTTCACAAAAAAAAATTCAACATGAAACGTTTTATATTGTCACCCGTTTTTACTTCATTACTTGGAAATAAACCAGTTTTAAGTAGAAGACAGTTTAATTCCCAATTATCATCTATGTAATGCAGAGTTACAGACATGTAACTATTCTTACGATAATTATCAGTCCACATATCACAGGTTGAAGCACAATATTTTTTGTTTATAATAAAAAATAGATCTTTAAAAAGTTTGTTTCTGATTTCTTTAGTACTTTTTTCAACGTGTCTTGATATGGTAGTCGGGTGGGGAAAAAGGTCCGAAATGTCAATTGGTCCATACTTTCTACCAGTGTCTAATAAAAACTGACACAAATTCTTCAAACCTTCACCTTCAATTGCGGACATTGATCTTATATCCATACAACAAAATTCAACGCATTTTTCAATTGCTTTTATCTTTAATTCTTTTGGTACTATTTTTTGTTTTTTACTTTTCTCTTCAATAAATATATCAATAGATCTTTGCAAACCTTTATTTAAACTGCATTTGTGTCTATTAAGTGTAGCTGTCGCTGATTTATTCCCGTAGAGTTCCTTGCAATTTATACAAGCAACATATTCTGTTAAAATTTGTTCGGGAGAATCAGGGTTGTCAATATTTTGAACGATTTGCATAACATTTTGAAATTTTTTCCACGTGTCACTTTTTCCTTCGCGAGGCACCAAAATATATTCTCCAGTATCGTGGGTTAATTTCCGTTTAACTGCATTTTTAGAATTATTTGTCATAAATGGATGAATTAAAGATTGATTTGTCGTAGATCTAGAAGTAGAAGGAAACGAAACAACAGAAGAATCGTCGATCGTGTCAGTCGGTATAGGCGTACTGCATATTACGCTGTTTTGATCAGTAGACAAATCATTAAGTGAACTTGCAAAACTCGAATTTAAAAATTCAGAAATTTCTTGAGAATTCATAATTCTAAAATAATGAAAATGATTCCACATGAGTTGTTCTTACTGTCATTCAAAAATTATAAAAAAAACATAGGCACAATTTTTTTTTACTAATGTTTGAAATGCATACATTGACAAAATTCGTTAAAATCATGCATATTTGCTAATTATTCTGTACTTAAAAATGTATAAATCATTTTTGATTAAAAGCTAAGAATTGAAAATTTAATACTAGGTTGTCCATAAGTTGAGCTTAGAATAATAAATTATAAAAAAAATTGATGATTATTCAATTAAAAAAATTTTACGAGTGTTTCATTTTTAACGAAATCCAAATTCACGCGTTAAAATAAAATAATAACAATATTTAAATATAATATATCCTAGACTGACAAATCATCTCCGTTCAGAATCGTTTTTCGTATTCAATGATACCTATCATTGCATTAAAATTAACAAACACATTACAGTGACCTACTCTATGACCGAGGTCCATCCCACCCCCTAATGTACAGCAGAGCGACATCCACTTCATCCACTTACCCGCTTTTTTTTACGTAAATTCTCCATCTCTAGTCTAATGTATGTATATAATATAAACAACGCAATAATTACTATTTTATTTAATATACAACTTACCAAATATTGGAGATAACAATCGGTTATATTAAAATCTGCTGATAGATACTAGGTACTAGAGTAGGTAGTGAGTACTGTCACTTCACACAGCCAAAGTAGAAATGATTGAAAAATAGAAACATTAAAAAGTAAAACAATTTTTCAATTAATAATTTCTTATTATTGTGTTTACTACAGACTGTACCAATTCAAAATTAAATATTTTAAGTAGGGAATATGGAGTAGACTAGACGGCTAGGTGATGTTTATTATATTATGACTATCGCCTATATTATATTTATAATAAAATATATTATTACGATTTACGAATGATGACAGTAAACCCAAAATTAATTAATATCAACAGTCATTAGCTAATAGCTATTGCATACTAGGTACTAGGTAGTACTCAGTACTGATTAGTCACAGAAGTCGCTCAGTAGTTTAATTAAAATAATAATAATAATAGTAAAATACAAATATTATTGCTATACAGTATCTAATACCTAATAACGACGATATTTGACATAGGGGCCGTCATTCCGAGAAAAATAAAAATAATAATAACAAATCATACTATTTCTATTTCCTAGTACTTCCGACGTTTAATTGTAGATACGAGAATAGGACCATACTGAACTGATGTAATTTCCAAAATTAAAGGACCGACGAAGACTGGACCGTGTGTTCTTTTAAATAAAAAGACCAAAAAAGACTGGACCATTCATTATTTTTATATAAAAAGACCGACTAAAACCGGACCACGGTCCAGTCTGGTCCGGTTCGGACCGGACCATGCAGAGCTTTAATACACAGTCCTTATGGAGCCGCCCGAATATCGCCGGAACGGGGTTCGAACCTGCCTACCTAACGTTGGGGAACCTATCCTAACACCTATCGACTACAGTTTGAGTTGTAAACTACGACCGAATCTCGAGCACTTAAACCGTTTTAGAGATGCGACGAATACTATATTACACGTCATTTAAACGATACAATTTTTACGATTCGCGTGTCACGAAACCGTAAATCGCATATTAATCGTCATTTAGAGTGTTTCCGACGTATTCCTCTACATTATTTAATCGTATACGTCTCAATGACGTACCGAGTTTATCATCACAGACACATATCACGATATCGCTATCGCCCCAAACGTACGCGATCAAAGACGTTACAACGACCGAAGATCAACGATTTTGCGATGTTTTTGTATAATACACATAAGGATCTGGTCATATCTGACGTACGTCATCGACGGTACGCACGTTTCTTTTTTATACACATAATCGTATTTTCTACGCTATGAGACGATGAGGTCGCGGTGGCGTCCGAGGGCGGAGATACCGAAAACAAAAAAACGCGTATTCGACAGGGATAAAGGATTTATCGTATCGTAAAAAAAAAAAACAGTAGTACACGCGCTACGATACGATAACCGACCGGAGAACGCGTCGCGAGTACGCATTTTCCGGCCGCGAACGGAATTCGGGGACGCGGGGCTCGCGATCGGAAAACGCGCGGACGCAAAAAAGGAGAAACCGATTGGGGGCGAAGAGAAAAACGGGCGACGTCTGTCGGCGGGCGGCCGTGGCCGAGGACCGAATCCGAACGAAAAACGCGCGCGGACGGGACGAAAAAGACCCGCTCGGGGCTACGGCGGAGAGAACGCGACGGAAAGAGGTCTCCGAAGGCCGGAAAAGCGGAAAAACGATATAACAAAAACAAATAATAACGACGGCGGCGGCGGGAGATAACGATAACGGCGCGCGGGAGATATGAGATAAGAAAGACGATAAGAAAAAATTTAATTTTTCGATTGGCCAGTACATTAAAGTGCCCGCATTCTGGCGGATTTTTTGGGAAGCTCGTTTTGGTTTTATATTATAAGAAGATTATTTATTAATTAATGCTGTGATTTTTTTTTTTTCAGAGAAATTAAGTAAGTGAATTTTTTATTTCATTTAATGTATGAAACTTAGTGACATAATTTTTGTGATTTGTGCTTAATAACTTTTATAATTATTATTATACTTTTAAATGGATTTTTTAAATAGGGATTAAAACACTTGGTATGACTATTATTATCAGTGACCTGTTGGACATATTTTCTTTCAAAAACTAGTTAATTCTACCCGAGTAGTAATTAAGATTTAGTTGACAGTTTATTTAGTAATAAAAATTAGCAATGAAGAACACACCTTCTTGCATAGTTCTTAGACCTAACTGTTGAGTAATTTAAACGGTATGGTGAGTTCATAAAAATTGCTAACATTTTCATATGGAGTTAATCAAAGTTATACATAAAACTACTAGTGCTTAAACTAATTTTAGAACCGATTTTATTTACTTTGAACTTATTTTAATTTTAATTTATCGTCATTGGCTTGTTGAACTACTACACAAATTAACTAAACTTCATAAAGTATCATATATAATTTATTTTGATTTAAAATTGGTTTATTACTGGGAATTTAAATATCGTGTTAATATTTTTTTATTTGATTTATTCTATTATTTACTATGCAATAGTATTCGGTATAATATATCATATGACAGTTAAATAGTAATGACTTATTAACTTTTTTATTTAGCTCAAATTATAATGAGTACGTTTAGAAATATTACTATTTACTTCAAATAAGCTATTTATTAGGTACAATTTATTCGAGTAAACAAGACTTATAATACGTTAAATGTAATGAGGATTTCTTAGAGAATAATAAAAAAAAAATCAAGTTTTCAAATTAACGAGGAGAAATCTCAATTATTGTACTAGAAAAACAATTGTGAGCGAAGATAATCTTTCAGCGAATCACTGAATATAGTTTTTGATATTCCTATTAAAACAATTTATTATACTAAAAGTCTTACAGATGATTGATTTAATTTTTTTGAACCTTTTTCATATGTTCTGTTACATTTTAATATTAAACTATAATATTAGTACTTATAAATAAATATATTATTATAATTTGTAATAACTTATTAGTCAATACTATCTTATCGAAAAATAGTTTGAATAGTTTTATAGTATAAAATATAGATTTTGTTTTAGTTTAAATTTAGCTCTACATATTTCTAAAACTTCGTTGAATTTAGTAAAAATAATAATATACATAAAAGTATAGAGTCTCTACGAATTTTCTTAAACTACAACAAATTAATTTACATTGTTATTCATCGTTGAAAAATATGTAACTTCATCCACGCGTAAACTTTAAATTATTGTCATCAATGATTTTAAAATAACATATGTTCGTCTAGTACTCTACAATCCGTAATTAAATGTTAAGGTTGAGTGCATTTCTGTATAAATGAAAAATAGATGAAAATTAAATTTGTAGATATTATTAGATTTAAGATATTCCAT